ACACGATTGCCTTATGACCCTCAACAGCTTCACCCTTGTCCTTTTAATTATCCCGGTGACTTGAAATGTTTTATACTGTGATACCAATAAAGGTATTTGATTTGGATGCCAACTTGGATGCCATTTGATTTGGATGCCATCTTTTCCTTCTCGCTCTCTTTCAAGAGAGGAGATTCCAACTAAACTTTAGGAAGAGCTTCCTGGTGTTAAGAGTTGTTCCACTGTGGAACATCCACTTCTTTTTCTCAGGACACCCCTGTGAGGTAGGCTGTGTCTGAGAGAAATTGACTTCCCAAAGGTTCACAGGTGAGTGAGAAATTGGGCCTGGGGATGGGGTGGGGTGCCCCCCTTTCTAAACCCTACAGCAGGCACCCCAAACTCATCCCTCCAGATGTTTTGGGACTACAACTCCCATCATCCCTAGCCAACAGGACCAGTGGTCACGGATAATGGGAACTGTAGTTCCAAAACATCTGGAGGGACGAGTTTGGGGGTGCCTGGATGATAGACTTGACCAGTTAAACGTGCATTCACAAAATGAGTTCGAAATAAAAATGGGAAGCAAGGCGTACAATCTGGAGCCATAAAAATACAGAACGGTAGCAAAGATCCCCCACCCCCAAAAAATTCAGCAGTCCAGCTTGGCACTGGCTGTAAAGGTAAAGGTAAAGGGACCCCTGGCTATTAGGTCCAGTCCTGGCCGACTCTGGGGTTGCGGCGCTCATCTCGCTTTATTGGCTGAGAGAGCTGGTCATGTGGCCAGCAGGACTAAGCCGCTTCTGGCGAACCAGAGCAGCACACGGAAACGCCATTTACCTTCCCGCCGGAGCGGTACCTATTTATCTACTTGCACTTCATGTTTTCAAACTGCTAGGTTGGCAGGAGCAGGGACCGAGCAACGGGAGCTCACCCCGTTGCGCGGATTTGAACCGCTGAGCTTCTGATTGGCAAGTCCTAGGCTCTGTGGTTTAACCCACAGCGCCACCCGTGTCCCTGGCACTGGCTGTAGAGCCTAGCAAAGCCTATTCAGTTCCAGCAGACACTTTGTTTCTTTAAAAAAGAATCCAGAACTTTTAATCAGATCTGGCTTATGGTTTTTTTTTTAAAGACCCAAACCAATGGATTCCAATCACAAGAAAGGCGGTTCCAACTAAGCATTAAGTAGAACTTTCTGTCAGTAAGAGCTGTTTGGCAGCTGAGCAGATTTTCCTCGGAAATTGGTGCACTCCCCTTCAATGGAAGTTTTTAAGCACAGCTTGGAAGACCATTTGCCAGAGATTCTTTAGCCAGGAGGTTAGACTAGATCAGGCATGTCCAACAAGTGGATCATGATCTACCGGTAGATCACTGGACGTCTGTGGTAGATCACAAAGCTCAACAACTTTGGCTGTCAATAGCAATGGGTAGATCACAGCCTGTATTTTTATACTGTGAGTAGATCACAGTCTCTTGGAGGTTGGGCGTGCCTGGACTAGATAATCCTTGGGGATCCTTTGCAAATCCACAATCCTACAATTCTATGATTCTGTCTAGCCCTGTCACCCTGACAGCCAAAACTCTTTGGGTAGGAGGAAACAGATGACCTCAAAAAAATATGTTGTCGAGCTGGGAATGTTTCAGAAAAGGGCGTTCAAATGATCAAGGGGGATAGAGCGACTTCTCTTAGAGGAAGCAGCGTTGCAGTGTTTGGTGGGGAGGAGACCACAGGATGGACATTTATATCACGCATGGCATGGAGAAAGAGGTCAGAGAGAATTCCTTTCTCTAGCATCCAATGAAGCTAAGCGTTGGAAGATTCAGGACAGATAAAAGACAGTCCTTCTTCATGTCGTGCGGAGCTAACCTGTGGAACTCACTCCCACTGGAGGCAGTGATGGAGAAGGCTTTAAAGGAGGATTAGGCAAATTCATGAACCAGAAGGCTATCGCTGGCTACTAGCAGGATGGCTATGCTCTGGAGGCAGCAATGCTTCTGAATACCAGTTGCTGGAAACAGCAGGAAGGGAACATGCTCTTGTGTTCGAATCATGCTCCTGGCTTTCCCACAGGCACCTGTGAGATCAGGATGCTGGACTAGATCGGCCATTGCCTGATCCAGCTGAAGGCTCTGCATGTTCACAACTGAAATATCAGTTGCGCTTGCCTTCAGTCAGTAGCACTTAGCCAGCAACAGCCAAGGTATGCATGGAAATATATTTTTAAAAAATCTTTATTAAGAAACCAAAAATAGAGGAGTCTGCCTGATGCATCTCTGCATGATTTACTGATTGGGCCTGGCCTTTTGTCCAATCAGCTCATGTAGGAGGTGAGTAATCTTGTTGTCTCTCTGCGGAAGGTCTGAATGGATGCTCCAATCAGTTCCCGGTACACAGACACGGCAGATTTACCAGGCATCAGAGGAGTGTGCCCGTCACCTCTCTGCAACAATGTCTGCTGGAGTGCTCTCATTCCAATCAGCCTCGACTGGGGGTGGGTAATTTTGCAGTTTCTCTGCAATGCGAGTGACTGCAGCAGAAGGACTCTCCAGAGAGCCTGCCCAATGTGTCTCTGTACAAGTTGCCGCTCAGATTTGCCTCCTTCCAGTCACCTGCACCAGGTGGCTGATGAGGACATCTTCTTCCACATCTTTGCCTACCATGTGATGAGGTTGCTCACACAGAATTGTCTCTTTGTACAAGTTACTGCTCTGGGATTGCCTTGTTCCGATAGCCTTCTAAATCGGGCCTGCAGACCGTCCGGGAATCAGCGTGTTTTCACACGAGTAGAATGTGCTCTTTTATTTAAAATGCATCTCTGGGTTATTTGTGGGGCCTGCCTGGTGTTTTTACATGAGTAGAATGTGTGCTTTAATTTAAAATGCATCTCTGGGTTGTTTGTGGGGCATAGGAAATCATTATTTTTTCCTCTCCAAAATATAGTCCGGCCCCTCACAAGGCCTGAGGGACAGTGGACTGGCCCCCTGCTGACCCCTGGTCTAAACTGAATTAAAATCAGGACACCCTCTCAGTTCTAAGGTCCCCTGGACTTTTAACTGTGTCCTCAAGGAGGGAGGCAGAGTTAGAATTTTCCCAAGGAAAAGTCTAGCAACTCCATTCCATTGTAGACTTTGCCCCACACCTCTTTCCAGAAGACTTTATTATATTCCCTGCTCTGTTCACACTTCTTAGCCTTTCTGCTGATGTGTGTTTGCACACAATGTGGAGCGGGGGATTTATCCGCAATACATCAGGGAATCCCCTGCGGGGTTATCAAATTGCAATGGGATCACGGTGCTGCTTCAAACCCCACAGTTTGTTTTGGCTCTCGGAAAGGTTCTCCGTAAATTAGCCAAAGTCTGTGCGTTGAGAGGTGGAGAAATAATGCCGGCCTGCATCCGACAGGTGCAGTCCCGGAAAGGCCAGGAAATTTCCCTCCCTCGACTTGGGGGACTTTGGTCAGCTCCATCTGATCAAGCAACTTGCCGTGAATCCCAAATATTCACTTTGACATTCCTCCCCTTCCCACACAGTGCAATGGAGACCCACATGACCTAAAGGCCATCCTCTTCTGCAGTGATGGATTGATTTTCGCTCTATAAGACGCACCAGACCACAAGACGCACCTAGTTTTTGGAGGAGGAAAACAAGAAAAAAAATATTCTGAATCCCAGAAGCCAGAACATCAAGAGGGATCACTGCGCAGTGAAAGCAGCGATCCCTCTTGCTGTTCTGGCTTCTGGGAAAGCTGCACAGCCTGCATTCGCTCCATAAGACGCACACACATTTCCCCTTACTTTTTAGGAGGGAAAAAGTGAGTCTTATAGAGCAAAAAATACGGTAGTTTTTCGTTTCTGGACTTAATGGTCTTATGGCAGGCCACGGTGGAAGGAGTTCCCCACATGTTGGTATAGCTGTGTTACTTGCATTGCGGGGGTTGGGCTAGATGGGGGTCCCTTTTGACTCTACAATTCTATGATTTTAGAATTGCTCATGTTCCAAAGCACACATTTAACACTTCGCTTCTTGTACTGCCCCCCCAACCCAGCTAGGACAGCGATTCACAACTTCCCAATAGTCTTATTTGCTGCAAATAAAAGCCACTTTGTACAAAAATGAGCACATGGGACTTTCCCCATGTTTGCCCTACCCAGGGTAGATCCACTGAATTGAATTGCCAATGTATTGCCAATGTATTACGGTATTTTAATATTTTGTTGGAAGCTGCCCAGATGGGCGGAGTATAAATAATAAATCATCATCATCATCATCATCATCATCATCATCATGACTAACTGAGGGTCATTTATTTCCAGGGGGTTTCCTCTGAGTGAAGCTTCATTGGCTACAACCCTAACTGAAAACAACAAACCACTTTGAGGCTCATTTTGTAAACTGCTTTGAGGTGTTCTTGATGATGATGGTGGTTGTGATAATAATAATAATAATAATAATAATAATAATAATAATAATAATAATAATAATAATAATTCTATTGTTTATACCCTGCCCATCTGGCTGAGTTTCCCCAGCCACCCTGGGTGGCTTCCAGAAAAACATGAAAAATAATAAAAGGTCAGACATTTAAAACTTCCCTGAACAGGGCTGCTTTCAGATGTTTTCTAAAAGTTCTGTAATTCTTTATCTCCCTGACATCTGGTGGGATGGAATTCCACAGGGAGGGTGCCATTACCGAGAAGGGCCTTTTCAGTGGTGGCTCCCTTGGTTGTGGAATGCACACCCTAGTGAAGGGCACCCATCCCCATCATTTATTAAATTCCAGGAAGAATGCAAAAACGTTCCTGTTTCTCCAGGGGTTTGGCGGATGAAGAAGACTATTTCTGGCTGCCCTGTGATCATTCGATGGAAGGATATTTCTAAGCGTCAATGCTTTTAGAATCGATTTTAGAACGTTTTGACTTTGTTTTTTAGAAGTGCGTATCTGCATCTGTTTGCCACCCTTGGCTTGTTGGAGAGGGAGGGAGGGATATATATTTAGTAAACGAATAAAGACAATATCCCTTACCTGGACTCTTGCCTCAGTGAGTTTGGTCCTCTGAGCGAGCTCCTCTCGGGTGTAGATGTCTGGGTAATGGGTCCTTTCAAAGGCTTTCTCCAGCTCCTCCAGTTGCTCCGCTGTGAAAGTGGTCCGGCTGCGACGTTGCTTGCGCTTGAGAGGCAGGTCGGGCTCCGACTCAACATCAGATCCTTCATCCAGCCGGTTGCCTGGCGGGGGACGAAAACGAGAGATGGAGGCGGATGAAAACACAGGCCAAGCTGGACCAAAAATTAAGAAGTGATAGTGGAAACATGGTGGGAACATGGCCAACCCTTCTGTAAGACAAGGTGTAGAAGGTGCCTCGCGTGGCATGTCCTGGTGTGTGGCAACATACAAACAGAATAAGAGCCTTCAGCTGGATCCGGCCAATGGCCCATCTAGTCCAGCATCCTGTTCTCACAGTGGCCAACCAAATGCCCCAATGGGAAGTCCACAAGCAGGATTCAAGCACAAGAGCAGTTTCCCCAACAGCAGTTTCCAGCACCTTGTATACAAAAGCATTCTTGCCTCTGACCACTACTAGCTATAATGGCTAGTAAGAATTGATAGTCTTCTCCTTCTCCATGAATTTGTCCGATCCTCTCTGAAAGCCATCCAAGCTGTTGGCCATCACTGCCTCCTGCAGCAGTGAATTCCATAGTTCGAAGAATGACTTTTTAAAATCTGTCCCAAATCAACCCTCCCAGTTCCCCCTGAATGGCCAATGTTAGGGTTGCATCCAACCAAGTTGTACTCTGAGTAGAGCCATTGAAATTAATGGATCTACGTTCGTCGTGGCCAGGTGGTCTACTCTGATCTAAAATAGCACTGGATACAACCCTGATTCTGCTCTGCGCAGGTGTGGCGGAGAACCAAGTCCCATCACCAATGTCGAAATAAGGGCATGAGGAACCAGTGGCCACATGACTGAGGTGTATCGTATTTGGTGGGGAATGTGGGTTGTGTGCGTTTCTTCTCCCTCCCTCATACCACTAGAACGTGTGGATATCCAATGGAGCTGAATGATAGAAGATTCAAGGCAGACCAAAGGATGGACCTCTTCACACAACACATATTTAAACTATGGAACTCAGTTCTGCAGTAGGCAGTGATTGTCACCAAGCTAAAGCTAAAGGTAAAGGGACCCCTGACCATTAGGTCCAGTCGTGACCGACTCTGGAGTTGTGGCGCTCATCTTGCTTTATTGGCCAAGGGAGCCGGCGTACAGCGTCCGGGTCGTGTGGCCAGCATGACAAAGCCGCTTCTGGCGAACCAGAGCAGCGCACGGAAACGCTGTTTACCTTCCCGCTGGAGCGGTACATATTTATCTACTTGCACTTTGACGTGCTTTCGAACTGCTAGGTTGGCAGGAGCAGGGACTGAGCAATGGGAGCTCACCCCGTCGTGGGGATTCGAACTGCTGACCTTCTGATCGGCAAGTCCTAGGCTCTGTGGTTTAACCCACAGCGCCACTCGCGTCCCTGGTCACCAAGCTAGATGGCTTTAAAAGAGGATTGGACAAAGGGGGAGAAGGCTGCCAATGGCTACTAGCCATGGAGGCTATGTCCTGTCCCCCCACCTCACTTTCAGAGGCAGTTATGCCTCGGAATACCTGTTAGGGAAACACAGGAAGGGAGAGGGCTCTTGTGCTGGGGTCTCACTTTTGGATTTCCCATAATGGACATCTGGTTGGCCACTGTGGGAACAAGATGCTGGAACGGCTCGGCGTGCCTTGCTGTTAACCAGAAGGTTGGTGGTCCAAGCCCACCCAGAGCAGGACTCTTGCATTGTGTGGGTGGGGGTGGACTAGATGATCCTTGGGAATCCCTCCCAGCTATGATTCTATGACATGCTTAGACAGGATATTGGCCTGATCCAACCCAGCTTCCTGCAGAGCCTCCCTTCCTCTGCTCCCTGCGCACTAATCACACACACATTTTTTAAAACTACCATTTCGTAGCTGAACACACAAAAAGAGAGAGATTTTCTTCCATCCTCCCCTCCCTCCGCTGGACTTCCAACACCTCCCCCCTCCAGCACTCCTGGGAGGCCCTTAAAGTTAAATTAATCAACAGGATTAGGTAGAAATTGGTCACACCAAGACCCTCCAGGCTCTGATGGAACTCTTGAGGCGCACCAAGGACCTGCTGTCTTGTCTCCAAGCACCCTGGTGCCGTCTGGAAGGATTCGCCGTCCAGCCCAGACATGGAGGCGCATTTATTAACCTGGAGATCGGATTGCCAGTTGATTCGGAGGTGGGGGGAAGGGGTTAGCGGCAGACAGAGAGTGTGGGTTAGGCACATCTTAAGATAATGTGGCTCTCCCCCCTCACTCTCCCTTTCTTCTGCTTTCCCCCCTCATGGTCCCATCTGGACTGCCTTAATCCCTGCACCCCTAAAGGTCTCCTCCATAGCCCACCAAATCTTTCGTGCTGTGGAACGGCAGACCTAACCAGGAAGGGATGCTCGCCAACTCTGAAGATGCGAGCCTTGCCAGTTTGTTTATTTTGCACCAGGCTGAATTCCCTTCCCCAGCTTGGTTGCATGCATGCCATGGGCAAATTCTGGACGTACCCTCCCCTCCGAAGAATCCCGGGAACTGTGGTTTGCTAAGGGTGCTGGGATTTGTAGTTCGGTGAGGCGTAAACTCCAGTTCCCGGGATTTATTTTTAATTTTAATTTTTGCAAGGGATGTGTGCTTTAATTTGACGGCGTGTACACAGCTATGCTTTTGAATTACGGTGCTGGAGGAGACTCTTGAGAGTCCCATGGACTGCAAGAAGATCAAACCTATCCATTCTGAAGGAAATCAGCCCTGAGTGCTCACTGGAAGGACAGATCCTGAAGCTGAGGCTCCAAGACTTTGGCCACCTCATGAGAAGAGAAGACTCCCTGGAAAAGATCCTGATGTTGGGAAAGATGGAGGGCACAAGGAGAAGGGGATGACAGAGGACGAGATGGTTGGAGAGTGTTCTGGAAGCTACCAGCATGAGTTTGACCAAACTGCGGGAGGCAGTGGAAGACAGAAGTGCCTGGCGTGCTCTGGTCCAGGGGGTCACAAAGAGGCAGACACGACTAAACGACTAAACAACAACAACAACACACAGCTCGAAACAACACAGCATGATGGATAACTCGCTCCTATCCGCGTCTGCTCAGAAGCAAGCCCCGCGGAGCTCAGTTTGGCTTTCTCCAGAGTAGACACACATATAGCACTGGGCTGAGAATTTCAGAAATCGTGATGGCAAGCTTCTTCTCAGAGGTGTGCTATTCTGGCATCATGTGGGGACAGAACAGCAATAGCGGCACAAAATTTAATGGCTTAATCAGGGATAGCCGAAATCCTGCTTGCTGGCTTCCCATAAGCCACAGGTTGGCCAGTGTTGTAAGAAGATGCTAGACCAGATGGGCCACTGGATTGCTATGAGGCAAGTTGCCATGTCTCTTTTTAAATCTGCCCTTTATTCAGAACCATGAAGACCAGAATCTTACTTTATTTTTAGGGGGAAAGCCATAGCTCAGTGGCAGAGCACCTGCCACACACACAAATGGTCCCAAGCTCAATCCCTGAGATATCTAGGGAGGACTGTGGTTGTCAGATCTGAAACCCCGGAGTCAGCCTAGACACTACTGAGCTAAATGGATCAAGAATTGACTTGGTATAAAACATTTCCCTGTGTCTTGATGAAGACTAGATCCTTGCATTATTTTAAGGGGAAGGTCCATAGCTCAGTGGTGGAGCAACCACTTTGCCTGCAGAGGGTCCCAGATTCATTCCTTGGCATTTCCAGGGAAGGCTGGGAGATCCCTCTGCCTGAAACCCTGGAAAGCCACTGCTGCCAGTCAGTGTAGGCAATACTGAGCTCTATGGCCTAATGGGTCTGGCTCAGTATAAGGCAGCTCCCCATGTTGCAACGATTGCTTTCTATCCTTGCTCACCAGCTGGACCAGAACAGAACTTGTTCTCGAAGAGAGTAAATAAAGTCATCTTGCTTTGCTGGTTAAAAAAATTAATTAGTGGGCACCCCTAGCTTACCTCCCCCCCTTCTTCCAGGGAGGTGGCACAACTGTCTAGTGGTTCTCACCCCCTTTGACTGCCATTCTGCTCGGACTCAGATGACAGGACACAGAAATGGCCAAACCCATCAAAACGCAAATGAGACCTTAAACCAGAGGAAAGAAGGTGGCAGAGCAACTAGGATGATCGAAAATAATAATTATTTTTGAAATGGAGTAAAAAAGCAAAACACAAAATACAACCTAGCTGTGCTTCTCATCCCCAGATACTGTTTCTCTCCAAGACTGTCTGGACAGATCACTGAACCCAAATGAAAAAGAAGAGAGCGACTGTAAGAATTTACAGATTTCGGCTTTTGCAGAAAAACTGCACACCATCTGTGAGTTCCTAGGGTGCTGGACAATCCAGAATGCTTTTGTGTCATCTGGTGGGATTTTATTTCCTGCGCTTCAGACTTAGATGCTTAACATTCACCTTTTGCGAGGACCAGAGCCCTACCTGAATTGGGAAAGGAAAGCTTGACAGAGTTTCAGGAGGAGACAGGACTAACATCGGTTGAGAAAGAGAGGTATTTGGGGGTCAGTATGACCGCCAAAAATGTGAATTTATTTAAGGGTAACTGTGAAGGACGTTGGATTGAAGAGAAGGGGGATTGGGAAATATGGACAAATCTGAAGTTGTTATTGTTGGGCCGAGTTGTTGTGGTGGGGATGAGGGTTGCTGTGTTGCCGGGGATGTTGCTTTTGTTTCAAACAGTGCAAGTTTTGGATGGGATGGATTGTTTCAGGAGGTGGCAGAGGGATGTTTCTAGATTTGTTTGGCAGGGCAGGAAGCCTCGAGTAAAAGTTAAGATATTGACGGATGCCAAAGAAGGAGGTGGACCTGCCCTGCCAGACCCCTAAACTTTTTTGTGAATCATCTGCTTTTTGCTGGCTGGGAGAATGGCTGCTTCTTGAAAGCACTGAAGTGTTGGATAATGGCAGATGAAGTTGATGGACTATATGGAATTGGCGGAAAAGACTGGCAAGATCCGAGACCAGGGAGAAGAGTCGGTGGAAGAAGACTGGGAAAAGTTTAAAGACTATTTATAGAAATATTGTAAAATTAATGAATGTTAGAAGAATGTTGGAATGAAGTTATATGGCTTTAGTAGAAATGTTATAAGGAATTA